CCCCAAAACCCCAAAACCCCAAAACCCCACAATCGATGGCAAATGTTGTCATTTATAACTTTTAATAATTTATAATGGAAGAAGAAAAATTGACATGGGATCAAGCTTACAAGGAATCAAAATCCCTTATTAGCTACTCAATCCTGCTGGGAGTTAACATGTTACAGATAAAGAATACCGTTATCGATATTTTAGAATGTGGAGAAAGGATCCGGCATGCTCCTTTGGTTATTGAAGTCCTCGGCAGAATGCCTGCTGTAGACAGACACGATTACGAGTTCCCTCCTAACACTCAGGACTTTATATACTATGAAAGGGCTTCATTAGAGACAGAAAAATAAGAATCTAGAGTTTGTTCCCTTGGTACTCACAAGTCTGGATTCGCGCAGAAAGTTTGCAATGTCTTGAAAATTCCAAGAAAACTTAAGGCATTACCTCATCCTGCTGAAGAAGCAACTACAGAGAAAGACTGGAGTATTTAGCCAAAGTTTTAAAAATAGGATGTTAAAAGAGAAAACTCCATGTAAAGATGACACTGTTTTGATCAATTTTCTCAAGGATGTAAAATTCTCTGAACTCCAAGATGACAGTCAGGTATTCGGAGGAGTTCAGTATTATATCCCAAAAGCATTGTGTATTGTTTCTGAGTCACCGTATTTTAATGAGTTCAAAAACTTATTAGGAGCATTGTATTTCAAATCTAAGAGAGACACTAGCTTTCCTTTTGGCCCCTATCTTCATTATATCACTTTTACAGTCCCAAAGCCGGGAAGAGGCTATATTGTTAATGCAGCTAGCCCTGAAGGAAGCACTATTCGGTTTAAAAACAAATCGAAACACAAACTGCCGTCCATTCAGGTTGAGTTCTATTGGGATGTGTTTACCAAAAAGGAATTCGCCCAATCTGATAACTTTAATACAATTCTTTACTGGTTCATGTGCCAAGTAGGTTCAACTGTCCTAATCTCCTCAAGTCCGAATAAGTTGATTAAGATGGCTGAAGTTCTAAGAACAATAATCTTTCCGTTTGAGTATGATGATAGTTACATGCCTCTTCTTTCTGAACAAAACTTCGAGTACCTAACTGCTCCCTTCCCTGTTCTCATCGGTATAGTAAACACTGCTGAGGAGGGCTCGAGAAACTCTTCATTCACAACTACCCACAGCAGTCGTAGTGAGATCAGGTACAATCATTTATACCACGAAATAGAGAATATGGCTTCTGATAAATCCCTTCTGGTCTATCTTGATGAAAAACAACTCAGAGTCAAATTTGAAGAAGAGATCTTAACTCTTAATGATTTTAAGGAGAAAGTTGATGATAATGGTAAATCCTTCTCTGGCAAGTATTTTCCAACTAAGAACATGAAAGAACTCAAAAAGAACCTTCAGAAGCTTATGAAAGAACTCCAAAAGAAATTACTCACTCATCATAAAATCATAACTATGCAAGAAAAAGAAGAATTTGTTGGAAAAGTTCGAGAACAGTTTCTACACTTCTTCGTAGGATTGTTTAAATAGGTAAGAAATCTCTAAACCCCCAATTCCAATTCTTCAGGCTAAATTTTCTCTCTTAACTCCCTTTCCCCACTCTCTCCCTTCTACCTCCTCACTCTTCTTTCATAGCTACGAGAAGTACCTTCCCAAGAACATGGACCAGGCAAAAGACGCTGAAGAAAACTTCATAACTTCTTTCCGTGCTGAAGAATTTACTAAATAAAGAGTACAAAGGGTCCTCTCAGTTCTATGAAGACTTCTTTTCTACCAGAGCGTGGATGGTCTTTTTGGAGAATAAGATGTTCCAGAACAAGGATGGAGTCAACCCTGTTGATTTGTTTGATATGAAGTATCAGAAGGGGAAGAAGAAAGCTGAGGCCAAGATTAGAGAGGAGTATAAGATAGTTGAACCTGAGTTTAAGTATAGTCTAAAAGAATCTGCCACTCAAGATTTGTCAGTGATGGCATTCCCTAATGAAATAAAATTGCCAATAGAGGAACTTGCAGGAAATCTCTGCAAGGCAGATCAAACTGAGAAGGTAGATAAGCAACGAGTGATTCTTGACGGGATAATCACATACACAAGAGAGCAGCATATCTTAGTCTGCTGGATCCTTCTTTGGTGAATGTCTTTTAAGTACCTACAATCTATTGAAAAGAAAGTCAGAATACAAGAGCTTGTTATTGTGCTTAATAGACTTTTCAAGAACACTGGGTATCCTATAGTAAACGTCAGATTTCTTGAGTATATCCTCAACGCAATCCTTGAGAGTGGTAGGAAGGAGCATATTGATGTAGTAATGGAGACTATAAATCACCTCAACATCCCTCTAAGTCTCCAGATGCAGCAGATTTATTTCCAATGTTTCGACAAAGAAAGAGGAAAAGTTAAGAAAAGACCTCCTCTAGCTGCTCTCGATTCGACTCTTGAATACTTCAAATTCTCAGAAGGGGCAATAAACGATACTGTTGTATCTAAAGAAGAAAGCAAATCATCTGATGCAGCTAGTTCTAAGAAGAGGAGAGAAATAAAATTGTTAGAGACAGTAATCAAAAGTGGTAAATTAAGAAGAAGGACTTTTAAATCTTATTCACAAAGAAAATAATTTTCTAGTTGATGAAACCCTATTCTTCAAGATTCCTGGAGAGTGTGATGGCCCAGACTGTTCTAAAATAATGGACATTTCTCAGATATTTAAACCATTAAATTGAGAAGAGACTTCTTTTCAATGATTCTTTTGAGGAAAAGACATGAGTTATTTTGTAGATTTTCATATTGGATACCAAATGGAGGACTCTATTCCTAGAAGTGAAAATAAACATAGAGCCATCGGAGTAGAGACCAGAAAAATAAATCCTTTTAATCCAGCTGCTTCCATAAAAGGTAGCTTCCATCTCAAAACAGAATTTGAGATGCTTAACTTCATTAAAAATTTATACAATGACAACATATCAGAAGACAAGCCTAATCAAGGGAAATTTGACTTGATGATTCTTCGAGAACACCGCAAGAGTATCCTATTCAACTGAATTTTATTCTTCAAAACATATGGACTTCCCTTCGACTTCATCTTACCATTCGAAGATTATGAGATAAAGTATGCGTATGAGAAGACGAATCAGCACACTGCTGTAAAGGAGGTGTTCTCACCAGAAGATATTAAATAATTCTGGACCAATAATATAACCACCTTTTGGGGTTTTGGGGTTTTGGGGTTTTGGGGTTTTGGGGTTTTGGGG